TGTGTGGTGGTCGGACATGGTAGAGGGGGGAACGCTCGAGCTTTGGAGTGAAACATTACCTGCCGAGGCGGGCCTCCTTCGAGAAACCGGAGGGAGTTCGTCTTCCAGGGCAGGAGACCAGTCAAGCATTTGTGAGGGTCCACCTGAAGAGGAACGAAGGCAGCCCTTCGAATTGGCCCAGAGCAAGGTTCTTGATTCGTCGGCGCCAGATTCCTACACACTATGCGCAAATGGGGCAGGTTCGCAGGCCTCAAGAGTCCTTGCGGAAGACATGGTGGGCAACAGCAACAACCTCGTGGGTGGTAGCCGGACATGGAGCTTAAGCCGCCTGAAACCAGTCGAAATCTACCTGCCCCACCGCAAGCGGAGCAAGTTTCCCGCTGTTGAACAGTTGATGGATGCTGGTGACGCCACTGATGGAAGATTAATGCCAAAAGACGGACACGACGCCAACCGCCACAAGAGGAATGATCATTCCAACGGCGAGAAGGACGGGAGTCTTGACCTACTGTCGAACGAGCTTCGCGGAACCGAACAAGAAGGCAGCACTCGCCGGCGCACTTTCGGTCCGGTGTCTGGGCACACGTGGAGGCCTACTGAGAGCACAGTGCCACGGCGTCGTCCTAGCTCGTTCGCCGTTGGACACGAGGCTGGCGGAGGTTGCGATACTCCCGGTTTCGGCGGCGTCAGCAAAGGAGCAGAGAAAGATACCGGAAAAGTCGTTGATGCAGACGTAGACGTGAACAAGTACACTGAACCCGTTAGCACGAGCGAGGGTTTAGGCTTTTTCCGAATCGCGTGGGGACTTCCAAGAGGAAGACCCATGCCCGTTGAACTCCCACGGCGTTCTACCGGCTACTCGTTCTATTCATCACATGTCCTGGATACCGCTGCCGAGGCGCCTCCCGCCTAGGACTGACCCTTCCCAATGGGAGAGGCCAGAAACGTTGATTCGTATAACGACATCGTTGCCAAACCCGCCCGTTGCTTAGAACAGGCTACATACAGCATGTACGGCCACCTGCCACGTTCCCTGGATGGATGGCGTCTCATCACCAAATCATCCTGGAAGATAACCCTCGATGTGGTTGGAAGCAGTTCAACATTCCGGGAAAGGGTCGGGAGGGGTTGACTAGTGTGGTGCAACGATAGGTATCTGGGTTCAAGGGCCGAGGTGGTGGTAATTGGCATTTTCGGTAGATGAGACAATCCACGCCACAAGCCCGTCCTCGTAACTGCACGACATTTTATACAGGCGCTTTCCTAGGACCCCCGTTTTGGTCCGGCTGTGCTTGGTTTTGTTCGCCACGTAGTTTCATGAATTGTCTCATTCCTTGGCGTTTGGTGGACTCAACTTGTTGTGCACACGTCAGAGGCCTCCGCGTGCGAATTGTCTGATGATTCTGTAATGGATTTGTTACGGTTAGTGAGTTGAATGTTCTTACATATACAATGGGCGCCAACCCCTCTCAGGGGTTTGGCCTGTTCCTGTTTTTTTCTTCGTCTTAGCGTATAGGCACCAATCTTCGTCTGAAGAGGCCTGTGGTCTACTCACGTGTGTGGCATCGAGATTGCGAAAGTAGGACAGAAATCGTGTCTATCATACTAGGAAATAATCGGCTGTGGATGCGACGAGACGGATGCAACATTCGAAGTAGAATACTCCTTCACATGAACACCAAGACACGACTCACCGACACCCATTGCAGACAATCGGCCTACAGGACTCGTCAAGCCTGTAGGAACAAACAACCGTAGATGCGACTATCCGCCTGCAGGACTCGTCAAGCCTGGAAAAACAAACAAACGTAGATACGACGTTGATTGTTGGTGCGAAGAGGGGTCGTTTGGGTTATACTTTTTGTGTGCACAATGGCCCAAGGAACTGAATCTCGACTCTGCAACATGATGCGTGAGCGAGGAGACAAATCGCGGCTACAACCCGTCGTTACCCGCCGACGTCGAGCACTCCTGGAAGTGCGCGCGAAAACGGGTTCACCGGTTGAACACGCTGAAATTTGCAATCGTTGTGGAGCTGTTTCCCAACGTGTCTATTGTTGAGAGATATCCTGCGAAGGTCGACATTTCTTCTTCCACGACCATCACTCGTGCCATCCGTACCATATACACGAGTACGCAGCAGGTGCTCCCAGCATTGCTCCGAACTCGATGAATTTTTGCCTAGACATTGCCTACCCGCCATCCATTCGAAGCCTCATCCAATCTACAGCTGGGTGTACGCCCGTTTGACGCTCACGGGTGGCCAGAGGGCAGGTTGTGGGTGGGTTGTCGGCATCCACAAGGTAGGGTAGGTTGTAGAGATGGGTTGGGAGAAGGCCCCAACCTCCGCCAAACGGCTCGGTTGTACAAGGACGCAGGGACACACGGCTGAAACGGCGTGAAACGCATACCTCGGGCGCAAGCTCTCTCTCCCACCCACCCTGTCCCCGGCTCCGTTGCACGGTACCTACTGCCTACGACCCGTAAGTGTTCTCCCTCTACCACATTCCATCCACATCCCCCGTCTCCGCGATGATCTTTTCGCCCGCCTCTCCATCTGCCGTCAACAATGGAACGCCCACGCCCCCCCCTAGCGTTTAACCCCTCTGCGTGCATGCTCGGCTCGAACAGGCACCGAACGCGAGGCGAGCCCAACACATCTTGGCTGATGCCTGAGAGTAAATGGGAAGCGGGCAGAAGGAGAGGGGGTCGGCTTATCGAATTGACCTTAGCTCTAGAAGTGTGGTGGAGACGCGGTGTTTTGCAGCTCTTATCCGGGGGCTCTGGAAGCTGGAGGGGGACGGGAGTCGATCGGTAGCGTGAGATGTATAAGGTTGGGGTTAGGGTTAGGGTTAGGGTTAGGGTTAGGGTTAGGGTTAGGGTTAGGGTTAGGGTTAGGGTTAGGGTTAGGGTTAGGGTTAGGGTTAGGGTTAGGGTTAGGGTTAGGGTTAGGGTTAGGGTTAGGGTTAGGGTTAGGGTTAGGGTTAGGGTTAGGGTTAGGGTTAGGGTTAGGGTTAGGGTTAGGGTTAGGGTTAGGGTTAGGGTTAGGGTTAGGGTTAGGGTTAGGGTTAGGGTTAGGGTTAGGGTTAGGGTTAGGGTTAGGGTTAGGGTTAGGGTTAGGGTTAGGGTTAGGGTTAGGGTTAGGGTTAGGGTTAGGGTTAGGGTTAGGGTTAGGGTTAGGGTTAGGGTTAGGGTTAGGGTTAGGGTTAGGGTTAGGGTTAGGGTTAGGGTTAGGGTTAGGGTTAGGGTTAGGGTTAGGGTTAGGGTTAGGGTTAGGGTTAGGGTTAGGGTTAGGGTTAGGGTTAGGGTTAGGGTTAGGGTTAGGGTTAGGGTTAGGGTTAGGGTTAGGGTTAGGGTTAGGGTTAGGGTTAGGGTTAGGGTTAGGGTTAGGGTTAGGGTTAGGGTTAGGGTTAGGGTTAGGGTTAGGGTTAGGGTTAGGGTTAGGGTTAGGGTTAGGGTTAGGGTTAGGGTTAGGGTTAGGGTTAGGGTTAGGGTTAGGGTTAGGGTTAGGGTTAGGGTTAGGGTTAGGGTTAGGGTTAGGGTTAGGGTTAGGGTTAGGGTTAGGGTTAGGGTTAGGGTTAGGGTTAGGGTTAGGGTTAGGGTTAGGGTTAGGGTTAGGGTTAGGGTTAGGGTTAGGGTTAGGGTTAGGGTTAGGGTTAGGGTTAGGGTTAGGGTTAGGGTTAGGGTTAGGGTTAGGGTTAGGGTTAGGGTTAGGGTTAGGGTTAGGGTTAGGGTTAGGGTTAGGGTTAGGGTTAGGGTTAGGGTTAGGGTTAGGGTTAGGGTTAGGGTTAGGGTTAGGGTTAGGGTTAGGGTTAGGGTTAGGGTTAGGGTTAGGGTTAGGGTTAGGGTTAGGGTTAGGGTTAGGGTTAGGGTTAGGGTTAGGGTTAGGGTTAGGGTTAGGGTTAGGGTTAGGGTTAGGGTTAGGGTTAGGGTTAGGGTTAGGGTTAGGGTTAGGGTTAGGGTTAGGGTTAGGGTTAGGGTTAGGGTTAGGGTTAGGGTTAGGGTTAGGGTTAGGGTTAGGGTTAGGGTTAGGGTTAGGGTTAGGGTTAGGGTTAGGGTTAGGGTTAGGGTTAGGGTTAGGGTTAGGGTTAGGGTTAGGGTTAGGGTTAGGGTTAGGGTTAGGNAAGCTTACACTTTACGTTCGTTGACGAAGAAGACTGGAGGTGGCGCCGGCTTATGTTCCAATATATCTCTCATGTAACCGTCCTCCTGTGCGACTCCGGCTGTTACGTGGGACAAACAGACAAATATTCATGGTGCCAGAGAAGATGGGACAGACCCACGCACCCTGGGGACAAGTTACAGCACGGGTTCGTGCCAACTAGGTACACTCGAAGGCAAGGGAGTTCGCGCAAATAGGGCCCGCGTGTGTAGGTGTGATGGCGCGAAGAAGGGTAACCGTCTCGGAACTCACGAACTCACCGTTCACGACCACATTGCGAGCGATTTCAAGCCCTTTGTGGATGGTGCCGAGAGCAACCCCTATCACTCGAGTTGCCTGCTTAACCTGTCGACACCGCGTTCGCAAGAGAATCCAATGATATTAACGAATCGGTAACTTCAAGCTGCTTAGGTACATATACCTCGACTGCTGTAGTGTAGGGGTTGCTGAGGCCTACCCATATTTTGCGTCGGGGTGTGTACAGAGAAACGAGCGGGCAAAAGGACTGGTGCCAAGTGCGTCGCTGTCGGGCGAACGGGCTGTCGTCGGGTATCGCTTGCTGTTCAAATCACAGAGGGGTTCCTAATTTTTTCCGTGTCGTCCATCCCGGTGTCTGGCGGGATCACGCAATCGTCGCATCTCTACCGGTCGCATGCATAGTTCGCAGACCTGAAGGGATTGTAAACAGCAAAATGCGCGTTGCTCCGTACCTGCTCTTACTGGGACTTGTGCAAAACATGCAAGCCTTCCGCAGTACATGAAGGTGAGCGCACCACGAAACAGCTCCAGCTGCAAGCCATGACGAGGTCTTGGAAGGCATTGCACACAGCCGCCTTGCCAGCGGGGGT